GCCTAATACACTATACGTAATCGCAGTATGCTAAGTAATGGCTAAGGATATTCGATTTAAGAACACTATAACTATTATTTAACAGCTCACTAGGTATTCTTAAACAATTTAACTAAAAATTTCTCCAGGATGCTAATAACCAGCTACATAAACACCTTGTTTGCCTTATATTATATTTTATTAACTTAGCATTTCCTCACATTCAATATAATATAGTATTATAACTTCAACTTTGATTAAATATAGGCTAAAAAAATGATAGTTATAACGAGTTTTTTAAACAACCGATTTAATGTATCATGATCGGTATAATATAAGCTTATGCTTTATTTAAATTTATTAATTATTTAAAAAACGAAATATATGAAAATAATATCACGTATTTACGTTAATATCCCATTTAAAATAATGTTTATGGATATGGTGATTATTTTTAAATTTCATGAATTTCGTAGCTACTTATTTATATTCTAGATAAGAAATAAATAAGATTGCTTATTTTGTTACTTTATATGTATCATAAATATTTATTTTTTTTTTGCTATTTTGTAATGCATTGCGCAACTAAAAGTGCGGCTTATTCCAACAGTGTCAACTTAAAATTTTCAAAAATTCATTTTTTATTCACGATACGATCAAAATGTTGGATATTTTGCAGTTAATATTTAAATATACAAAAAAATGTCTCCTGTTTTTTTTTTTTAATCCAAATCTTAAACTCGACAAATTCGTGGGAGAAAGTTGGAAATTAAATATATCACAAATACATTAGTAAAAATTTAAATAAAATTATTATCGGCTGATAATCTATCAAAAAGGGTATTAAGTTAAAAGCTTCCTCCTACGAACACCGGAGGAAAGTTTTATTTAAATATGTAAATATATTGTACTACAATTTTTAAAAAACCGAGTGACATAATGGACACGTTTAATGCTTTTTATTCAATAAGTATCTGATATAATTCTATCAATATATATGATAATAAGCCAATATATATTACTTACTGACTTATAATATTAAATACATTACTATGCCGGTATTTTAATGTCAAAATTTCTTAACTAAATTATAATGATAATAATATTTTATTTTGTTAAATTAAATAGTGTACCGTTAATTATGTTTTTTAATTTATTTATATCTTTAAATATATCATTTTATCGATAATCACCATTTCACAACAGCTTATCACCACTTGTATACGATTATTATTTTTGGAATTCATTGAACTATTACATTTGCATTTTTATAAATTAACACGTTTATTTATTCAATATTCAACAGTTAAATTACAAATTTATGATTATTTATAAAATTACAGCGAAGGATTTTGATAAATTGATCAATCAAATTTATAAAATCATAATAAATGTTTCAAAATCTACAATTACCAATAGAATTATTGATCTAGCAAGACTAATAAAATTTTTATCGTTTTCTAAATAGACAATTCTACAACTTTTATGTTAACTAAGTACTTATTATTGTAATAAGCTACTGAATTGATTATTTAAAATATTTAATACAAGATAACAAAAATTTCCAGAATTTAATAAAAAATAAATGATTTTTTTTCAATGTCAATTTTTCTTTTATAAATTTATTAATCATTAACAGAAACATGAAAAAAATTATAAATTACAAAAAAAAACTTAATATAAAATTTTAGACAGGACAAAATTTATTTTTCAAAATTAAAATTATTTATCTCTACATAATTTCTCAACAATACTAATCAAAAATAAATAAATCTTATGAACATAAAGGCAGTGAACTGAACAAGCAAAGCTAGGCATTTGGCTCAACAAATAAAAAGTTGCCTCTGGACGTTCCCAATATCATAGCAATAGCAATCATCCAGTGAACGACGCGTATCAGCCTCACCTTACCTCTTTAATGTTGCATATATACATAGATACACGTATATAAAATCGGTACTCCACTCCGACAAACAACTACACCAATAAAAGTTGATAATATAATCTGTATTCCGTATCGCTGGGTTAAGTTACGTAAGTCGATTGCGGCCTTGCATTATAGCATCATAAACCATTCATCCTGTCCGCTCACCTGCAATGCGACACACAATTTGTCGACTTATTCGATGCGCGTTCAAATGTATAGCATGTTCCTCTCTGTACTCTGCACTATGTACTGTGTACTATGCTTTTTATCTTTGTGTTAGTCTTTATCGAATATCACACATTTATCAGATCAGCTTATAATTACCATTATGTATGCATAAATTTTTTTCATCATCATCTAAGTGACACGGGATAGAATATAGGACAGGATGCATTAATTAAATTAATCAACAGTTTCAATAAAATTCTCGGCATTCTAATTCTCAGTTGTCAGAATTAAAATCCATGTTATTTTGCTGTAATTGATTTTTATGTTAATTAAAATCACGATATATTTATTATTACTGCCCATGCATGCTAAGCATGGTAGATCGGAATGCATTGACATCGATCTAAATCTAAATCGGATGTTTATCATTTGTCGGATTCTTCAATCTCATAATTTCTAACTTTATTATAATTATGATTATAATTTATAATTATGACTATACTTGTGTTGAAAAATAAAGATAAATTATAAACAAGGTATTAGTTTGATAGATGCATGTATCACAATGTCCAGTGACATGGAAAGCCGATCGATCATTGTCAATTATTATTTGGAGCGAGAAATTCATTGACGTAGTTAGTATATAATTCTTGGAGCAAATGTCATATCATAGTGCTAGGTAAATATGTTTTTACATATTGTTATACATGCATATGTGTGTATATAAAGCGTTCATCGTATTCCAATCATCAAACTATTTCCTCTGCAGTAGATAGCTCCCGTTGAGAATATCCGCAATTTTAATGCTCGCGTACCTTCGCTCACCTAGCAAATATTCATTCAACTAACTTGTTAACTTAAACATTTATCGATTTTCCAATGGTGTTAATTTAAAGTTTTATCTTTTATTCTTAGTAATCAAATATTACTCATAACTTAATTTTAGAATTATTTTTTTATTGAGATAAATTTAGTTAGGTATTATTTGTGTTAGATGTTGTTTTGAATGAAAATAAACTAACCCAAAAGTCATTAAAAGTTTGAAGTAAATGGTCATTTGATAATATGAACTTATATAGAAATAAAAATGAGAAAAACAAATTTATAGCGGGTTTTATTATTGATCATAAAATTCTAAATTTCAATTCCAAAGATGAAAAATAATTTAACTCTGGACTCTATATTGATCTCTTGAACCGTTGAATTCATATTTTTTTATCTATCCCGTGAAATTGAACTTTTTGGAATCGATTCTTGAGATATTGAAAAAAAAAAATTGAGAGTAAAATTTTTAAAGCTAGAAATATTATGAAAAATCGTCAGGTTTTTATTGCTGATGACGATTTAAATTTATTGATGATTTATTTTTTTTTCTTAGAAGAATTTACAGAAATTCAATAAAATTTATCAGCACTTATGAACTTTTTGTAACATACATAAAGTTTGCATATTTGAATAATTAAAAATAATACTACAGCAAATATGAAAATAAATAAATTATTACTATTGATTAAACTCTCAACACAGCTTTTTTTTTAATTTGATATTAATTTCAAGCGCATGCGTTCATGTGTGAATTTTTTCATCACGCGATTATTCAACGAAGCTTTAAAACGCGAAAGCTGAAGGGTTGAAAAAAATATAAATAAGTTCGAAGGAAAAAACAAACCGTCGAGTTACTTGACTTTTCAAGCAGGAAAAAAATGTTCATTTCCTCTGTACTTGAAATTATACTTTTTAGCTTTATAATCGCTACAAATTAATTAATATTTTAATGGTATAAAAATCTCTAATGGTCTTTTCTAGAAATTTTTTATCCACTAATTTTAGTAAAAAATTTTTTTTTCAAAATTTGTTTACTTAAAAAAACGTGTATAAATGATTAAAAATTTATTATAGTAAATTTAACTCAAAAATATGCATTAAACCTCAATTTATTACACCATTAATATATTAACTGCATTCGAAACTACGCATAATAAAATCGACAGGTTTAAGAGCTATAAATTGAAAATGTTTTGCCTACTAAATAACTGAATAAAAGTAATAATATTAATAATGACAAGGTGTCAGTAAGTAATTTAATAAAAAATCATCATCGAATAAATTGCAGCATAATAATAACAATAATAATATTAAATAATAAGACTGTATAAATTCCTAGCATACACATAACTATAACCGTGAATAAAAAACATTTTGGTATGTTTAACTAATGTACATTAATACCTCAGCTCGATTTAACTACGAGTGTTGTAAATAATCTAACTTCACAGATGACTGTCCATGAAGAAACAGCATAGTGGGTGTCAGCATACAAACACACGATATTTATCGGTACACGATTCCATTAGATATTTATCTCACGACAAGACAATTGATAACTTGATAAAGAAATAAATATTTAACAGAAATAATAACAAAATTTTAAACAATAAACGAGTGTGGTGACAGGACAGGGAAAACTATGGTACAACAAATTGCAATTACGAATATCACTTTAAATTCAGTGCTAACAATTCTCTATCGTATTTATTTGATATATTTCCCGTTGATGTAATTATGTTCAAATAATATAAACAAGTATCTCGACACATGTCCACATGTCTTAGGTCTGGATATATATCGACAATATGTCTCTACATCAGGATATAAATATTAACACACATGTGTGTCGACAATTACATAATAAGTTACAGGCTATGTATAATAATATAAAACTTATAGTCAATAGAACGAAAGTTTCTTTTCTATTGATAAATGGAGTATGAACACTTCATATTTTTATCTATAAGAATATTAATAATAATACTTGCAATTTATTATGAATTTTTAACTTTGTAACTCTGATTTTATTCCAACAAACTGATTAGTGACTATTCAATACTATTTTATTATACAATAGTCAGAGAGGATTTTATAAAAAATGAAGTATTTAATAAACTTTAAACAAAAGAAAAACTTTCAATTGTAGAGATCCAGGTTCGAGTCCTAGCTTGGTTCCGATCCACAAATTATTTTTTTTAAAGATGATGTCTTCTCTGAATATTCAACTATAATATAACATTAAATTGTCATTATCATCATAATTAGTTTTTTTAAGTATGAACTGAGCTACTAAGTTAAAATTTCAGCCATTCAAAAATTTGTTCATTGAAAAAAAATTAATATTTTATTTGTTTCTAAAAAAAATTGTTTGTTTAATTGTTCCAGGTTCGCGATTTGGTAGAAAAATGCACTTGTCCGACTCAGTTCCCGATGATCCGCGTCTCCGAAGGAAAATACAGAATCGGTGACACAAAAGTCCTCATCTTCGTAAGAATTTTAAGAAGCCACGTTATGGTACGGGTGGGCGGCGGTTGGGACACTCTCAGTCACTATCTCGACAAACACGATCCCTGTCGCTGTCGTACTTGTAAGTTAATTTTGCAATTCCCATTTGTCAAAAAACACTTTCCATTGTAGTGTTTCTTAAGCATATTGACATTTATGATTATTAAGTATTTATCTTTATTGTTATTATAATTTATTTTTTAATTGGAAATTGTGATTTTTTATTTCAATTTTTAATTTATAGGCGATAGATCAATTATATGATAAAAATATTTTTAATATATTATTTTTAATGTATGTAGTCGAAAATTCAGGCTTTTTAACTCGAATATTGAATAAGACAGAACATTAAATTCCATTATAATTTTTAAATTAAAGCTTGAGCTTTATTAATTAAATAATATTTAAAGATAAATTTGTCAAAAAAATCTCAATGAAAAAATTAATAATATACACTGAAAAAAATATTAAAATTTCTTGAAGAAAAAAATTTTTTTTAAGAATTTTATTGTTTTAAAACAAGGCGAAAAATCTCTTTAAAATAATTTACTTGCTTTAAAGATTTTTTTCTTGAATCCAATTAATTTTTTTTTCATTAATTTTTTAGCACATCGATCAATGATTTCTGCGAAGCTTATTCAAAAAGCCAGCGGATCCTTTGACCTCGGTAGCGCGCAGGTGCATTACGAAAGGTAAGTTAAAATGATTCTTTGAAATAAAAAAAAAAAAAAAAAAAAAACTAACTATAAAAACTGAGGTAAGTATAAAAATACTAAAACGAGTTGAATTTTTCTAATCAAGATCACCTCCGAGAACACGCAGGAGTTCGGCTTCAAGTGTCGGTTCCTGTGGTGGTACAGTACAACAGCAACAGCAGCAGCAGACACCAGCAGCTCACTCCCTTCAAACACCACGCAGCGTATCGACAAACCGATCTCGCTCGCCGACGCCGCATCACGCAACCCGACAGCATCTCGGCGAGGATCTGACACGCTTAGCCAACCGATCAATGAGTCCTACTCCTCAGAGCAAAGGGAGTCCAGTGCACCAGCCTGGTAACGACCTTGAGAGGAAGCAGCGGTCAAGGTCCCCGACGCCGAAACCAGACGGAGCTAAGCCTGGTCGTACAAGTCCGCTTGATGCTACGAGAAAGGCATTGAATGAAGAAATACGACAGGTCAAGTACGACAACAGATCACAGATGTATCACACTCGTCACCAGGATAACTATCAGGTAGTTTTTTTTGTCATTAGTTATAATTCCTTGTTATTCATGATTTATTACAAACAAAAAATTCATAGAAGAAAGATACAGAGTGGGGCTAATACTTATGAGCAATTTATAATTAATTTATTCACTAGAAAAATAAAATGAAACGTGTATAAATTATACTTATATCCTTTAAAGATAAAAACATTTGTACGTATGCTAAAAAAAAATTAACTTAATTTAAAAGGAAAATTTTTGAACCAAAAAAAATAATTTTAAAGAGTTTCATTCTTTTGAATCAAGATGAAAAATTTATGCATCAAGTAAAATTTACGAGAAACTAGTAAAATTTTTCACTTTAAGAATTTTCTACTTAAATCAAGATGATGTGTCTTATTTACATACTTTTACGCCAGGTGGCACAATGTAGTATGCGGTGTTCCTACTCAAAGAGTCACTTTTAAAATTTATAACACAAACTTCTGAACAGTTTGTCTTCACTTGAAGCGAAAAGTCATTTTATTTCAATCTTCTTGATTTCTAAAGTTTTTTTTCGAGAAATATTTCTTATAGAATCATTAAGTACGAAAAACAACCTTTTCCTAATCTGATAAATTTTTTTTAGTTTAAAAAAAAAAGTTTGGAAAATCCAAAAGTGCACAACCCATAATGCTCATTTAATTATGAAATATTAATAAAATAAAGAATGTGAAAAAAAATATATAAAACAGCTAAAATAGCACGATAATGTGCAAGCGCCTCTAGTATGGGATAAATATACACAATATATATAGATATATAATCTTCTGGTTTTTGTTTTATTTTATTAATTGTTTATAAATGACACTGAATTACCTAACAAATCTTTCAAAGGATTAAAAAAAAAAATTTAACTCGATCAACAGATTTTTTTGCAAGTTACAGTATTTCCGGAGTTTCATACATGACGGACAGGAAAATTTTTTGACATGTTTTGATGTTTTTTTTTTTTTTTTCAGTTTTTATTGCACTAAATCAATTTTTGAAAAGTGTCAAATTAATTTCCATTAAATTATCTTGATAATAATGTGCAAAATATATTGATTCCTTGAACTAACAAAAGACTATAACAATAAAAATAGTTACCGAAATGAGGCGAAAAAAATTTTTCGATGGTAGGGCACTCTCTGATGCTTTGCATCATGAATTTTGCAAAAAGCTCTTACAAATCAGTAAAGAATGTATTAATCAAATTGTCGGTTTTTATAAATTTCTTCATTTTTTTTTGTGAAAAACTTTTTATTCAACAAAGGCAGCAATTGTATGACCTTAACCTTTCTTCGTATGAAATTAGCCCCACTCTACCTTCTAAGGATCGTCCACAATTCGCCATGTTAATACTAAATTAATTAACAATAAAATTAACTGTTTAGGATCCTAAGAAAGATCTTCACCAGGAGATACGTTCAAAAGTTCCTCTCTCGGAAGAATTTTCAAAGCGATACGTGGTGGAGGGCGGAGTAGCACGTCGTGCTTTCGACAAAGAAGACACACCAAAGTATGAACCGGCGATTTATAATTACAAGTGCGGTCAAGACTCGAGCAATAGTCGCAGTCCTACACCCAGTCCGCCGGCAATAAAAGAAGAAACAATCGATTCATTTGGAAAGGATGTGTGCCATTATACGAAGTCCGGTCATGACGGCGAGCACTCGGATAACGGGAGTGAGGTGTCTGATGAGGGTTATAGGAGCTTAGGCGCTGTTCAGCCACCAGCACCTACTTCCAACGGTACCAGCACCACCACCGCCGGTACTGGTATTACCAACAGTCAAGGCTCGCCCACGGTTGTCGACTGTCCAAGTGAGTTATTCACTTCCATACTTAATCCGATTATTTCATTGCTTTTCTCTTTCTTCAATCAAATTCCAAACTTTTTATTCAACTGATACTTTTATTATTTATTTTTATTTTTATTCTATCGGAATTTACAATCGACAAATATCAATTTTTAAATTCGTTACAAAGTTGAATGAATTAATGCATATGTGATAGTTATTATATTACGCTATATTATGAAATCTATCAATGAACTTTTATGTAATTTAACGATTATCGTAAATCTGTTATAGACTTAACATTTCAACCGGTACTAACCATAAACTGAGCTAATTAATCATAAAATCTCGTAAGCAACTGTCTCAATATTATTAGTGGCAGTTTGACAACCTCCAGTGTCATTCCTTCCAGAACTTGTAAGTGGTCTTGTCAAACTGCCTTTTATTTAATCTTGCTGTGCTCTAATTTATAATAGTCCCTTTTATCTCGGAATAATTATCAAAAATGTTTCAAATCTTTTTTATCTCAAATTTGAACGACTTTAGCTTTTTTAAACCTACACCCGACCACCGAGAAATTTTTTTAAATGCAAATAGAAGTATCCTGTGAAAGTAATTTTGAGTCATCACAAATTTATATTTATTTATTTATTTATTTCATTTTATAATGAGACCCAACAGCTGTAGAGCCAATAACAGGGTCACTAAAGAGTTTGTACAAAGTATACACAGCTATCAACAAAGTATATCTAAGTAAAAACTTACTAACTAATAAACGTAGTACAGCAAATAACAGATTTATTTAACATAATTAAGAACTTAAATAATTTTCATATCATCAATATTTAGTCTTATATAGACTTGTTTTATTTTATAATTGATTAATTCTTTTTTTTTTGTTTATAAAAAAATTATTTTTCTAGATTTGATAGCATACATATTTTTTATATGATAAATGAAAAAATGATTGTATCATTAATTTGATTGAGTCTTGTTTATATTTATTGCGGTCTATTAATTTCTGCTCCAGGGGTGTTGAATCAACACCCTTCGTGGTTACTACAATACTTTCTAAAACGCATCAATTTACGGTGAAAAATTGCTGATAATTCAATTAAGGAACTGTCTGCGAGTTATATAACGGCCGCAAAGGCTTTGTTATGTGTCACGGATTGTTATGGGGGACAGAAAGCGCTTGGAATTGGGATGTGACGTAGATTAATGCTAGATGTTAGTATAGAAACATACCCATGGGGGAAATAAGATAGAAGTACCTTTTGTAATTGTCCTTTTTTCAGTCATTTAACGTAAAAACTATGTAATGTTTAAAATAATTCTATAAGTGTCATAATATCATCAATTCGGTGAAATTTGATTATTTTGAATTGTGGAAATAAATTTTTGATTTGAAAAATTTTTTTTACTTTGAATAAATTTTACTGAGTTCAAAAAAATTTCAGCTTGCTTTAAAAAAATTTTTTTTTCTTGAATCAAGTTAATTTTTTTTGCATATAATTTATTCAAATTTAAAGTGACCAAAAAGGCGACCGTCTCTTTTTTCTCATGCAAAAATTTCTCGCGATAAAAATTCTCAGCATTAATTTCTTGTACAATATTTTCTCACACAAATACCATGATAAAAGGGCCATGTTAATGTTGAAGATATATAAGCATTTTTTCGTAAATGATGATTAATTTTCGTCAAATTAATTTATGTTGTGATAACTTTTGTTTTTAGAAATAATTGTACTTGAGATATTGTTGTGTGAGAAATTTTTGCTGAGAAATTTTGACGTGGTTAATTTTTGCGGATTAATAAAAACGGGAAGTCCATTTCAAAATTGTTTCAAATTGGCGTAACATTGTTGTGTTATAAGATTACAATTTTATTCCATGAAAACTAACGGTTTAAAATTAATTTTTTTCTTGAATTTTAGTTTCTTTTTTTTTGGTAAGACAATTTAAAAACAGTGTTGGCCTCCTTACTACTGTTTTTGGTCGACTGCCCGTCTAAAAAATTAATTTTAAACCGTTAGTTTTCATGGAATAAAATTGGATAAAATTGTAATCTTATAACACAAAAATCGGTTACGCCGATTTGAAACAATTTTGAAATGATTACTGTGTCATAAAATCAATTTATAGCAATACAAGTCTATTGAATCGAATCAGCCTTAATATTTCCAACACATCAAGGCCCATTAAAATGTTTCTGCCTCAAAGGCTCTTTCTTCTGTTACATCAAATGCATCACTGGAAATCGATTTCAAAAACCAGCCATAAAATGAACCAACGTGACTTGTATAATAAAATCCATAAAGCAAAGTAAAGTTACGATAAATAAACAAATAAAACAATAATTAAATTATTGCGGAAAAAAGCAAAAAGTTATTAATGGTATTATAAACTTTTATTTTATTTATAAAAGGTAGTTAATTCCACATAAGACTGAATCGTGCGCATGTTGTCTTACTCTCCTGCTCTTGCCAGCTCCCACATCGTCGTGACGATGCCACCGTGAGACCAATGTCGGTACTCCGTACCTAACCAAGTCCGTGGTCCTCACGAGTTCGGACCACCCCGTAGATAGTAGAGCATTAATATTCAAAGTACACGAAGATATATATATTTATATAAATGTATATATATATATATATTTATCTAAGGTGGTTTCATACCTTGGGCATGAAACCGTAAAGAAGGCCGGGCTGACATTTAGCGTACGTGTGCCATGAGATAATATGTTAGACAAAGAGGAAGGAAGAGAAGAAAGAGATCTCTTCGTGGCAAAACAACGTGGGCGAACCGCAAACCTGTCTCAGGAAGCAATTCTCCGCCGTTTGATTCGTGTAACTTAACTCAAGCTTTTTAAATATATGTAGCATTAATATTAGTTTAAGTAGTACTCAAGAGTCAGCTCAATAAAGTGAGAAATTTTTTTTAAACACATCACTTAATCAAAGTAGTTTTATCTTTCTCTAAGATTGCATTAATGTTTTTTTTCCCAAAAAAAAAAAAAAAATGATAGCCTAGAACATCCCCAGTCGAAATCTTAGACTATGATTAAGCCTACATAATATTTCAAAATATATATAGGACTTTTCTTTGTCTTAAATAAGAAAATAAACCTGAAATAATTTGATTATGACTTCAGATGATTTAATTAGAACTACATGTAACTGAATAATTTGATATGGATATATATGGCTTGATATGTCCATATACATTTTTTGATCTACCCATATTTGACCTAATATAAAAATTGGTCATATTTTTCCATGTATAATATTTTGACCAAAGGAAGTATTAAAAATACTCGACAGGTGGCGCATAATAGCTGAATTGTCTCACTACAAGAGAGTATTATTTAGGTTTTTTAATAAAAATTTTTTGCCTAAGAAAAAAAAACAAAAACTAAACATATAAATTTATAATAACAAACAATATTTTATACAATTAAGCAAAACTCGCGAGAAACTGTAAACGTATTGTACATTTAATTACAATAGCGCTTCCAATCATGCAATTACAAAAACTGATATACAAATTTGAATATGCCTATAAATATCTTTAAATAAATATAAGAGAGTTAATTTTGAGAAATTAAATTTAAAAAGTAAAAAATCATTACTTTTCTACCCCAACACATTATAGTGAAAAACATATAAAGATTTCACATTTTTATCCTTTTTTTATTTAAATAAATAATTTCTAATTGAGTTTTTCTCGCTTTTTTCACACTCTTTATAATAATAATAACTTTGTATGACAACACATCACAACAAAATTTAACTTTTCAAAATTGTGTAAGCCTACGGGTAGGGTATAAAATAAATAAAAATATTGTATCGATATACGCTAATACTTGTATATAATATATTAAATCAATAAGAATCTTTGAAATTGAAATTAAATCGGTATATGGTTTAATTAACTATACTAAACCAACTTTTGCCTAATATGGTGTGTTAATTGACGTAAAAATTGAAAAAAGTAATAATAAATATATGAAAATAATTAATAATATATAAATTAAAATAAAAAAAGTTCTTTCTAAGTATGATTGACTTTTAACAACAATGCAATTTTATTCAAGCGTTTGTAAGCCTATTTTAATCTTTTAATCCATCAGAAAAATTAATTTCGAATTATAAATAGGTCTAATTGAATATTGTGAAGTTTTAACTAATTAATTTCCGGCTTATTTAGCTATTCAGACCCGAGGAAGTCAAATTAAGGATTTTAATCAATGGCTAAGATTTCGACTGAGGATTTTGATCAAAATAATATGCTATTTTAGAAGTTCTTTTTCTACGTGTTGGGTTAGGGATTACAGAAATATGATTCACGGATCGTTGAAGAGAATCAAATGTCATCTTGTAGACAACTTGTTCTTAAAAGACGACAAGCGTGAGTGGAGATTAGGGAGTTTAAATTAACTTGATAATCAGATAAGCATCTGTCGAGCTTTATGACACTAGTCGTTGCATTGATATTAAATTTTGAATTCCTAATGTTTTGATTTTAGTGAGATAAATAATTCAGGGATCTTTTATTAGGAGTTTTTTCACAATGTGCAAAAAAAAATTTGAGTTATTATAAATCGGAAAAAAAATTAATTAGTTTTGTATTTTTTTATTTGAATGAAAAAATTAAATCAACAAAGAAATAACGTTTGGCAAAGCAAGTATAGTAGTTTGACTGGTAATTAATAATTAAATAAAATATAATGATTGAGAAAATAAATGAATGCAATAAAATGCAACTGACTGACATGTAAATAAAAATAAATCGGCTTGTGATTGATTGAGTAACAATCTGAGTGATTTCAATAAAAATGCGCAGTGTCACTTTGGAATTTTTGGCATTGAATTTATCATGATGAACAGTCAACAGTAAGCTGAATAAAAATTTATAAAAAGCTACTGACAATGTTAGCTCTCACTTTGCTCATCAGAATAATTTAATACTTGGAATTTATAATTGCAAGTGCCTCGAGAGAGTTAATTGCGTCGCTCACCTCCACGAACAAATTCAACTTTAGTGCACTCAATCAACAACTCATTCTCATCGTCTCATAAAAATTCACATCACAGCCAAATGAGCGATATAAAATTGTAATTAAAATACGAAGTTTTTTAATTACATTCGAGTGTACTTTAAGAATGTTGATTTAAAGACTTGCAATAAATCAAACAATTTGCTATTGTGCATTTATACTTAACAGTTAAGTCTGGAATAGTAATTTCTTACGGTTATTAATATTAATATTCGGAGCACTTAAATTGAAATATATTTCAAGATAAACAGTGAAAATTTACAACTAAAGATATATGTCCCATTCACACAGACCCACGCGTTATGCAAACTACTGAATCTTTCTCTCAAGATAGTCTAAAAAATAATAATCTTTTGCGGTTCCTGCTGAAGACGAATTTGGTGGTGTGCTCGCTAGCAGCACTTAGAACCACGCAAATCGTCTAGAAGGACACGCGTAGGTTGACTGGACACATTAAATCGTTTTACATCGAGTTCTTTTTGTTCAACACTTGACAAAAAATAATTATTTTACAATCATTACATTCTATGTTGACACTTGTTTAAAGAAAAAAAATATCTATTATATAATATCTTGCACATATTTTTTTTTAACAACAATAATAATAATTTAGCATTTAAATTGTTATTAATTTCAGTCAAAATTTAAGAAATCTAAAAAACAAACGATCAAATTAAAAAATCAAATTTTTGGATTAATTATCAAATTATTATTATTATTATTAGTATTTTTTTTAGAAAAATCTGAAAATTTTTTTGAAAAGTTCATTAAATAATAATAAATTTTTAAAATTCAAAATTATTTATTTTATTTAAAATTATTATTATTATTATTATTATTATTATTCATAAACATTTAATACTGATAAATTACTGTACTTTTGAAATTATTGAATCCTTTCTGGTTTTCTATATTTGAAGACCAAGAATACGAAGGACTTGTAATGCAGTGATGCAGTGAAATGCGTAGTTTGCCGTATAGTACACGGTACACCTTCTATTCCATTTCGGGCTCAGATGAGTCATCTATACGCGGTACTTACCTGTAATCAGAGACGCGATCACAACAACTTTAAACGTGCGACGAGTTTCCTCACCTACATTCAATCTTCCTTAACCACAACTTCCTTGCTTGTTGTCATGAATTATTCAGATCTGTAACTACTATATAGTCACTCATCAGTTGCAATTTTAAGGATGTTATATGTTACTTCAATCTCGTTAGAAGTTATAACTATATTTTATTTTATAATATATCCAACTGTCGTTTAAATAATAACCAAGCTACGAGACTGAAAGTAAATCTACTAATAAATTAAATTTATTGTTTGTTTAAGTTTTTTTACGATTATCCAAACAATGAGTGTAGTACGAATTCATACATCATGAATATTATCTTTTTTATTATTTATTCAAGATAAACTATCTTTCTCATAATGTTTAAGGAACCATCAAAATTTATTTTCGTGCTATTGGTGCCAAAGTTCTTAATACGTTTCATTTTAATTTAAGTATAGGTACATATAAATAAATTTTCTTTATTAAGTACTTCGTTAAATATCATTAATTTTTAGTAAATATGTATGGAGTCGTTAAATTGTCGAGACACTTGAATAAATTTATTTATGGAATAATATTATTAAGAAACTAAATTTTAAGTTTTAAGAAATATTTATGTTTAGTATTTTTATTACTTATTACTATAAATTTCAATAATTATTCCAATTATCTTTTGGTATTAACAAACATCAAAAATACAAATATTTATTAATTATAAAGTATAAAAAAAAAAAAAAACAATTTTTTTATTATTTTATGCACTAAAAAAATTACATATGTTCCTTCTACAATATTACATTATAGGAATCAATTTTTTTTAATTTATTTAAAAAATAAATTTCAAGATTTTATGTACTCAAAAATATTAAGAAATTAAAATTTTTCATTTTTTTTGCAATATTAAATTTTACCAATTAAAATTTTCCAAAAATTTGGAAATTTTCTCTCCGAGAAAAAAGTCTGTAATAATTACAGTTTAAAGATAAAATTTTCACCAAGAAATAAATTTCAAAAATTAATACTTAACATTGTATATCGACGTTCTAATTAGGAAATTGTCTAACTCTATTTTAGAGAATTATCTATTTGTACGAAAAAAAAAAAACAATTAGTTCAAAACTTATTATCTCTTTAAAAAACCATTTAATATCATTATTATCTAATAAAGATATAATATTTAGGTTTGAATCATTCAAATAATTTATAAGTCGATTATGGCTACATCAAAATGTTAAAAAAATTATCCTCTAAAAAATAAGGAGTTAGACAAATTGCTAATTAGACCGTCGATATATTTTATAAAAATATTACTTTAAACTACGTGTAGTTTTTACAGGTTTACAGAAAAAACTCTTATCAAGTTTGTGAAAATTACACCGATAAAAAAATCAACTTGACTCATTAGCCAAAATCTTGAATCAAGAATCATTTTGAAGAAAATAATTTTTTTGAGTCAAGAGAATGAATTTTTGAGTCAAGAAATTATTCTTGATTTAAGTAAATTTTTCTTGTCTCAAAAATTTATTCTCTTGACTCGAGAAAATATGATATTCTTGGTTTAAGATTTTGGCTCTTGAGAAGTTAATTTTTTTATCAGTGTATATTCTAAAATTCTGTAAAAAAGTAAATTTACTTCCCACGAAAAACTTTTAAAATCTATTCAATTAAATTTATCTCTTCTTTGCTGATCGATTATAAAAGTCCAATAAATAACTCCCGAAAAGTAATTGATACTCTAACAAAAAAAATCTGTTTCTAAAAATTATCTAACCCGTAAAACTAAAATTTTGATTACAGAACAACCGTTCACTAAACTGGAGAAAGAGCGTTCGTGTGTCGACACGGAGAGTATAGAAACAGGTTTGAGAAAAACAAAAGTATCCCCATCTCCGGCGAGCCCACTACGTAATTCACCATCACGAAGTGTCACTAGTTCGTCAGGAGAACGGACACCTCGTGCAAATTCAATGGTTCGCGAAAACAGCAATTTGTCGAGATGTTCCTCGGGTAGTAGAACGCCACGAGAGGGTAATTCAAGCCCCGAAGGAAGTCCTCTAAAACGTAATGCCGTGAGAAATAGCATTAAAAAGTTACCACCGGCTGTAACTGTCAGCAAGGCATCAGCGGTACCACGAGCTCATCAAAACCACTTGACAGCCGGCAGTAACACCTGGAATGGCAGGCAATCGCGACAACGACCCGGATTGTCTTCAGACACGTTTGTAAATCCGTCCTCCCCGCTCCACAATAACTCTGCTAGCGGAAATGCTAATCGCGCATCGCCCACAAATTTCTCACGGAAAAGTTCAGTAAGACAGAGTCTCCCCAAGTCCTCGCTGATGAACGGCGTCCAGTATGACAGGAACGGAAGACGGATAAAACCACCGGCCTCTAGTGTCTCTCTCCAGTCATCTCCGACCAAAGCTGCTAATCCTCTGCTGGAGCAAATCCTACAGAAAGTCGGTCATCTCCAAGATGACAAACAAGTCGTCCAGAAACTACAAGACTTCTTGAGAGATTACCAGACTCATGCTACAGACGGAGAACCTAATCTAGAATTCACGCGGGCGTGGATTGATGGAAACGGTACTGTTGCCCTCCCTCAAGAAGTTCCAGTTGTTACCAGTCCTAGAAAAGATCCTAAAGCTGCTAATGATCGCGGTAATTTTTCCAGAATTCCCGCTCCTGTTTACAAACGGGCGATGTCAGTTGCGTCTGACAGTATTTGAAATTAGGGTAAGAATTTAAGGCTTTAGTTTTAAGATTTTATTGAAATTTCACTGCGGTTTTATTATGCAAGTAGTTATACCAATTGGACCTAATGAGATTTACAGTTTGTATCTATATGGATTTATTATACATATGTGGAAAATTATTTTACAATTTTTGTTTGTAGGATATTTATAAATCGATTGATGTGTTTAATTTTTATTTTATTTTAATTCAAGTTATTTATAAAAGTTTTAGTCATTTTTAACTTATACTTCCTTTTTTTTTTTTTTTTTTTAAGTAAAAAAAAGTAAAAGAATTGCAATTTTGATTTTTTGAATTAAAGAATTTATTTTTAAATTTTTTTTCTAGTCCAAAAAATGGTTAATTTCACAAAATTTAGTTTATTCTTTTCAATCTTTAATAGTTACTTATTCTTAAATTTTTTGAGTAAAAAAATTAAAAAAAGAATTTGATGCTCTAATAAAATTTAAATTTTACTTATGCAATAAAAATAATAATTTTTTTATTAATTCATAATTGAAATTGCAATAAATTTATATTTCAACGCGACATTTTTTTATAAAAAAGGAATAAATCATTTAAGAATGGCCTTAACTCTAATTTATCAGTCACCTTAAATCGTACGGCCACTTTGTATAACACGTTGTCAAATTTAAATAAGCGTGTAACCTTTACAGTAGCTGAGCGCTAATTTATCGGTCGTATCTATAACTACAACCGCGTCACATCACACTTAAACTATTATAACATTATCTCTTCAAATATTTTTAGCGAAACAATAAAAACTAATTATTTAGTAAATATACTGTAAAGATTACACATTAAATGTAAACTAAGGCATATTTTTGTATGATAAATGATGAATAAGGATTTTAATTAGTAATTTTTACGTCATAATTATAATAATTACTTTAAAATAATACAATTATTTTACAATTTAACATTTAAATAAATTTTATATTATAAAATGTTGTTTATAATTATAATTTTGATTTTGATAATAAAATATTTCATTTAAGCCGTAATATTAATCGATTTAAAAATATTTAAAAAATAATTTTTTTTAGGTATGAATCTTACAATTAGCAAATAACGTCAAGTATTCTTTATTACTCTAATACTGAATCAAATTGACGTAAATCCGTTGTTTACAACGGGGCTTAATAAGAGCGATTATCAACAGTAATTTGTGACAGTAGTTTTCAAGTGAGATAATAACAGATTAAATCAAAAGAATAATAATAATATTTAAAATAAAATAACTGAAGCGTAAGATGACAATAGATATCAGAAAATAAAAAAACGTAGAAGCATATCCAATTACAGGTAAATATTAAAGTATCGTTGCGGAAGTAGCTAAGGATGTTTTGTTTCTTTCCTTTTTTTTTTTTGGACTCTCCTCTTTATCGTTCTTGCGGCCAGTTCCGAGAAATTAATTATAGAGTGACATACAGAGGAAGATTACGCCGACTTTCAGAAGGAAACTTGACGTCCTTGAGCTTTTTTTTTATTATGATATAATTATTACCGTGATTATTACTTTAAACTCGATGCAGCAGCGAGTTAAATACCTCGGTGATACCTAGAGAGTAGCTAGCCTCTCAAGATGGTGCTTGAAAATTATATTTATTATTATTATAGAATGTATATTATTAATTAATTATTATTATATTAGTTATCGATTTGTCGCTTAATTAATGTGACGATAATTCATATATTTAAATGGTTAAAGTTAAAGTTGCCGAAAATATCCGAGCTAAATTCATTTCAGACATTGAGTGTCTTGTGTTGTTAATGATTTTTTTTTTTTATTAAAAATTAAAGATATTTTGTAAATTGCAAGTTTAATTTGAAGTTGTGTTGGGCAAAAAGTTCATGATTAATTTCTTGGGAACCCGACATTGATATTTAAAAAACCTTGAATATTTCGTGATTAATATTGAAGAATATTAGGTATTTAAATTATCAGATTATTGTGAATTTTTTTAAGAAATATTTTCTGAATTTTAATGAAATAATTTTTAACAAAATAATTTCAATTATTTTTCAAAATTTTTTGTGATGAAAAAATTTACCGAGATGAAAAAAATATTTATAAAATTATACTTCATATTTTTTTTCGATTAAAAATTTCAAAATTTTTCGATTAAAAATTTCGAAAAAAATTCGAAATTTCTTGAAAATAATCGACAAGATTTTTAATAAATAGTTTGTTCAAAAATTACCTAAAAATTATTTTGAGTTTGTTACTTTAACTCAAATTTCTTCTTTCTAGAAAATAATCATGAACTATTTCACTCAAGCGACGGAGAAAAATTTTGATACCAGAATAACATATTACAAATTTAGTACCAAGATACGAATTCTGTGTCAGTTTTTGCGCATGCTCAAACGATATCTAGATACAATAATCGAGTCAAAAAAAATTGTCTTATATTTTTAATTATATTAATCTAAAAAAAAAAAAAACTTGAAAAATATTTTTTGGAAATAAATTTAAATCAAATAAAATTTTAGGCTAAAATTACACTTTGTACATATAACAAATTACAGAATATATGCTATATAAAACGTCAAAATATTTGACACAGAATTTTTATGTTATTCCAGTAGCAATTTTTTAAAACTCTTGATTGTAAACATAATTTTTTAAAATGAAATTGTTTTCCCAAAATTATTGATTTATATAGTCTATTGGTTATATTTATTGAAATCAATTTATTTGCATGTTAATTAGCCTTCGCTTTATTGTAAAAAATGTAAATAAAGTGGAGCAATAATAAATAAGTTTAAGCAAGTAAAATTGTGTAGAAAATGAATAATTATAATGATTACTAATAATAATAATTATAATATAAACCCCTAACAGACTGCATTAGATAGCGTATCAGAATAGGTGTCATTCCAATGTTTAGAAATTTTTTTATACCAAAATTGTGTAGGAGCATTTTTTACATACCAAGTGTCTTAATTAGTAGTTTAAAATTCAATTTTAAAAGTGGTAATTAACTATTTGAATAACAAGATACTTTTGGACCGTAAAAGCCGAATTTAGGCTTGTTTGAGCTTAATTTAACTCGATAAATTTTATTAATAAAAATCAAGTATAATTATAATATTAGTATAAATAGAGTTTTAATAAAATAAAACAATAAATCAGTCGTACAAAAATTCTTCATAAAGAGCGCGATAGAAATAAAAATACCCAAACTATTTTTTAGCATTATACATAGCTTAGAATAAATGCAAAAAATTTTATTAGAGCAACAAAATATATTTATATATAGATCCAGCCCAATTCCACTGATTTCATTATTATTATTATTCGCCTAATATACTACAGCCCAGAAGAATGTATCAAATGAAATTTTCTATTTGCATCACACATAACACAACATTATTATGTAAGCGAACTCTCAATTAAATATTATCGTGTAAAAAAATTTTCCGAGGTTTCAGCAGCAAATTAATTATTTACGTGATTCAGACTGTAACGATTACACTTAAAAATAAATTACGATCGTATAACAACAAATAAAAGTGGATGTTATGAGTACGGGCGGCGTCTAGTGTTTTATAATTTATAATAAAATCCATGCACGCCCACGTATGTGCACTTATGCCTAAGTTTAATAAACCCCATTCGTCGTATTTGATGGCATTATCATGATATCTGATTGAATATTTTAATCTCAACTGTTTTTATTATTATTATTATGATCACTAAAACTATTACTTTTACGGTTATTGTAACTATTTCTACTCTATGTATATAAAATCAGTTACCCATGATATACTTCGCTGTCAAATATTATGTAATTTTAATAATTGTTATCTTCGTCATCACTACCCGTTCTTTCTTCATTTTAAATAAATTTAACAACGATTATTTACCGAATTAATCGTTATTACTACTAATTATTATTACTATAAGATTTAGTATATAAAACTACTATTGTTATTATTTTAAGTAATAATAACTCATTATTATTATTTTTATTACAACTATTATTTCTAATCATAAGAAACTGGTTGTATCCTTTGATTTTATCAACGAAATCAAATTGTACATTGAATGAAAAAATAAATAAATAAAAACAATCAAAAGTATTACATGTTTTAATTTATAAATCCTCTACTCCTTATTTAAAAATTAAAAAATATTTTTTCCTCCAATTTTTATCGATTTTCGAAAATGCTCTATCTCTAGATAGATAATTAAGAAATGACCTTGTATCTTGTAAACTATTGACATTTTTAAAGATATAAGCTCACCCCGATGTTACACTCATCGAGACCTTTCATTTGAGTACCCACATCAATTTTTCATATATATAGATATATATATGTATATATGAAAAATATATCAAAATCCGTCATTTCTAAACTATTGACATTTTTAAAGATATAAGCTCACCCCGATGTTACACTCATCGAGACCTTTCATTTGAGTACCCACATCAATTTTTCATATATATAGATATATATATGTATATATGAAAAAATATAATCAAAAATGCATGTGGGTACTCAAATGAAAGCTCTTGATGAGTGTAACATCGGAATGAGCTTATATTTTTAAAAACGTCAATAAATAAGAGCTGACTTTGCTATCTTGTCAACTAATGATATTTTTAAAGATATAAGCTCATCTCGACATTACACTCATCGAGACCTTTCATTTGAGTACCCACATCAATTTTTCATATATTTTATATATTTATATATATTTTACATACATTTTTATATATGAAAAATATATCAAAATGCATGTGGGTACTCAAATGTTGCTTGTTTATTCTTCAAATTAATAACGATGGGTGAACCGAAGTTTCTACGTAGATTATTCACAGAAGAAGATCCTGAAATTAGGCGATCAGATAGGCTGGCAGCTAAGAATAATATTTCCTTCAAGATGCCAAATTTTGCTACTACGACCTATGAGCATTCATTTGTAGTAACAGCTATCCGGTTATGGAAGGACTTACCACCTGAGATTGTAAATGTTCTTAGTTTAGAGACTTTCAAAGTTAAATTGTTCGATTTTCTAATAAGTAATGAATAGTTAAAAATTAGTATGCTGGAAAATAACATAATATTGTGATGTATATAATAATTAGATTTACACTCTTGTCATAATTGCAATTTGTTTTATATATTCTATTAATACCTCAAAATTTATTGTACTTATTTGAACACTATCTTTGTATATAAAATTTGCCATTCGGCTTAACGCCTTGGCATTAAAACCAAATAAATAAATAAATAAATAAAATGAAAGCTCTTGGTGAGTGTAACATCGGGATGAGCTTATATCTTTAAAAACATCAATATTTAAGAAAGTACAGTGCAATTTAACAGAAGTCATTATTTAATAAAGGAAAATTTTAATTTTTTATAATTCACAAGTCACGGCAGTCACATAGTGACTGCAAGGTTGCTAGTTATTATTATTATTTTAATTTTTAACTTATAATTGGGAATTTTTCACCTATTAGTCGATAAAATATAATAAAAACATTAATTGCTACGATAAAATTTTAGATAAGCTCCGGAAATTCTAAATTACTCAAAAAAACCGACAGTTGCTATTAAGACTTGGTAGTTTTATCTATTTAGAGCCTCTCCGTGAACTTTAAACAATTTTTAAAAATGTTTTTTACAAGAATTAGTTTGTTGTTAATTTTTTTTACTTTACATATCACTGTTAAATCAATTGACGTATCTGAAATTTATGACATTGAAGCTATAAAAAATTTCGTGGACAAACTCGAAAATAAAGTTAAGAATAACTATAACTTGACAAACGCTACATCGTCTGACAAAGAAACATATAAAGTTTTAAAAGTCATTTTCAGTGATATGACAGATGTCTTAAAAACGTTGAATCGAATTCATCATAATCCCTATAACAATTATTGGATGGTCGCAATGAACAATGTCATGGAATTATTCGATGATCAAGAAGTAAAAAGTGGTGTTTCCCGATGGTCGACATCTTTATACGATTATTCTGCTATCATAGATGTAAAACGTGGTGTAATTAATACATATGTTCGGGGTATACTGTATTTACAATCCTATAATTTTTTAACATCCACGAAGAATCCATGTTTTCATTTACCAACCGTTTTGAACTTTTTCGATGCAACGAATAATACCGAGTCTATTATTGACGTCTACAAGAATTTTCTTACTTCCATTTTAATCAATCTGAATTATGTGAGTAGAAATAGTTTATGAAAATTTATACAAGAAAATCTTGAAATGATTGTTTATTTTTGTAATTTATAATTAATAATTAAGGCTGAAGATTGGTTCCATGTTTGTGGAGGGAGAACTTCAATGACCAAAGAGCTTTATGAGTATTACCGGTTAATTACCACTTCATACCTGAAAATATGGACTGTAAATTATTTTACAGGAATATTAAGAGCGTATTGTGAACACAGTATGTATTAATAAAAATCTTAATTTTTTTAAATGTCTTTAGCGCAAAACGCGAAATTTTACCGCAAATTTTTTAATTAAAAACTTATTTAATTTTAGCTGATTAATGAATATTTTTGTTGTTATAATTTATTCAATTTATTATTTCAACTAAAAACAAGCGTTTACTTTGAATTACAATGCATTTTAAGGCAATTAATTCTCTTATTTTTCAACAGAATCACCAAAGGTTTTTATGGAAAATACAAAAAATACTCTAATTAAAAAATTAACAATTACCATGCGGTTAAATAAAAAAATAAATATAGAAAGTAAAAAACAATATATGTATCAGTGCGACGGTCAGGTTCTAAATAATGGTAATTATTAATTTATAAATTACTTAAATTGAATATGTATTAACCAAATTATTTACTTTTTAACGATGAATAATGTAAATACAAGATTTTTAATCATTTTTTTTGTAATAGTAAATTTTATAGAGTATCAATTAAATAAAACAACTTATTATGAACTGGAAAAAATGACGCAGGCGGTTATTATTAATGAAAAAGATGTGAGTAGTTCAGGAGATTGTAGTTTCGATTGTGATCTTACTAAATTAGAGAACTTGAATGGAAATGTATGCAAAAATTTCAAGGAATGTCGATATATTACCAAAAGTTTTGATATTTGTGAGGTAATGAATAGTATTTTTTAAAGAATAAATAATCTAAGCAAATTTAGTCAAGAAACTTTTAGATTTTACAGTAAACTCAAACTCTGCATTTAAAATGTTACTGTAAAAAAAAAAAAAAAGTTATTTTATAAAAAAAAGAATTTTAATAAATTGTTTTTGTTTAAAAGAATTTAAAATTTTTTGACAAAATTTTTGCAACATTAAAAAAAAATTTTAATCAAAATTTATGAATTTTAGCCAGAAAAAAATGATTCAAGAAATTATCAATGGTTTAAAGACTCTAACGGAGTTGTTTACGGTCCGGGCCAAAATGAATCGTGTCCAAATACCGTTAAATCTGTCAGCAGTTCTTACCAAGCATCAACAATGTATTTTTGTGATTACTGTGTCTGTATTTGTGAACGATATCCCGAAGACAAACCAAATGTGGTTACTGCGATCAGTTTTAGGGACCAAATATCGAACATCAAGGAGAACAAGTAAAAATTTTTAATTTGTTATTAGCATAAAACAAATTTATTCAGTGCATATGATTTGGATAATTTATTTTTTAGGGTCGTCGTCGGTGTTAGGTTCATAAAAAAAGATAACATGATGCATGTTCAAATCAAAGAAGGCAAATTAGATGCGAATTTGGAGGACGAAGGTTTCAGCGTGTGGAAGGAACTCGAAAATTTTTATTATGATGAATATCTTGACCAATATCACGTAATTGTTAATTCGATAGAAGGTTCATTGTCTTTAGGACTTGATTATGGACATCCGGAAAGTATGAACATTGATGACTTGATCGCACCTACAGGCTTCGTTATCACTGGAGTAAGATTCAGATATGCCGGAGACTCATTTGACTCACCGCACGTGAAATTTGGCGCGGTTGAATTACAAATTCGGGTGTCTGCTTTTGACGTTATTGAGAAAAAAATAAGCAAAGACCCACAAACACATTGGATATCTCCAAAGAAACAAGACAAAAGGTTTTTTTTTCTTTTTCGAGAACAATTAGACTATATTGTATACAATATTTTTTCTGTTCATGGATTTTTTACTAAAATTTTTTATCATCGTTTTAAGGGATGAATTGAAGTTACACGAACCAGATAATCCAACAAAATCAATTGAAAATAATATTGACTCAAAACCAGGCCAATTTGTCAGATTCCAAGCATCCGATTTGAAAAAGGATGCTGGACAAAGTACAGTGCCATTTTTCGACGCTCTACCCGCGGAAGGTACTCCAAAATTTCCTTTGGAGGGTATTGGAATTATTCATAAAGGCAGTAAGGGATCTGGAGGATATTTGGCATTTAGAATTTTTGATTTAGATTTTTCTCAGAATTTTAAAGTTCCATCAGAATCTGAATCATTATTGTTCTAAAAAATAGACTTATTTTACGATATTTCTTTGAATCATATTTTTTTTTAATTTATAATTTATGTGAAGTTTTAAAAAATTATAAAATTCTTATACCGCATAAATAAAATTTTATATAATATTCATTATTTTAAATTATATCTTTTACAATTAATTTGTTAGATAAAATATTATACTTTTCCAAACTCAAACATTTTTTCGGTTTTTTTTTATTAGTCATCACGATAAAAAATATTCTTACTTAAAAAAAAAGTAATTGAGTTACGATAAGAGACAATTTTTTTTTTTTTTTCATTAAATAAAATTCTCTAATTACTTATTAATAGCATGGTTTACCCACCTAGTTATCAAGGTTACAACAATAATTAGTTTATTTAAAAAATACCATTGATAAATTCGATTAAACTGCGACTACAAAAAAAATATTTCCACTAAAAAGATTTTTAATTTTAATTGAATTAAGTTCATTAGTCTTAGCGTACTTTTGATAGAGTCGGGTTTATTTACGTCATTAAAAGTTATAAAAGGAACGAAACAAATCACAGAAGTTTTTATTGTTTTAAAAGTTAGAAGTTGTAAACAGCTTAATGTTCAAATTAATTTACCGATTCTTCTTGTAGTCAATTTAAAGCTTAGTCAATATTAAAAAAAATTTTTTTTAATGTTAATATTATTATTATTAATATTATAATGGTCACATAAGTAACGTGTTATATCACACACAGAAATTAAGGTAATTTATGATCCATTGTCATTTTTGGAAGCCTCTAGATTTATTATGGCAATATTTGTTAGCGATTACGTCAATCAAATACGAGTCATAGTCATATTTTTTAGTTAGAAAAAAAACTAAAAAATATCTAGTAGAATTTTGACACGAAAAAAATATATAAATGTGAGACAATTTAAGATTTTTTTTTTATTTTTTTAAGATATCTGATCAATAAAAAAAATAATAATAATATTAAAGAAGAGCCAGAATCTTACAAGTGTTCAACAAGAGAAGAACACCCTGAAAAAATGATTAATTATCAATATAATTATAAAAATGATCCCAAGTGATGATTGTATAAATTTAATAACATAAATTTGCAGCGATTGAATTCAGTTGATCGGCCGATAGAAATTGAGTGGTATAATAAAGATAAAATATTTAAAAGACTAGCCAACTCGAGCTAGCGTCCTTGCCGAATATGGTAAGACCGGCACTTGTCCGTTTCAGCAGTGAAGAGCTCAACGCTAATAATAATAACAACAATCGTTCTTTATGGGCTATTATTCAATATCGTCGATAGACGGATAACATGAATTCAATTATAAAGTATAAATACAAATAAAAAAAATTCTGTAATATTAATAACGCGATAAGATAAAACCTGTCTGAATAAATTCAGTAAGTAAATAAATTATTTAAGGTATTTATTTAAAGGTTCATGATCATGCTTTTTTTGCTTTGTGTTCTTTTTTTTTTTATTAAATTACTTACTTAACTTTTCCACCATCTCTACCTTCGGATACTTTTGTTTCAACATACTGTTAAAAATAGTTTGCAAATTATAGCATAGGCGGAATGGAATTACAGTCGAGTCGCGTTATGAGCCCTCCTTGTGTCTCTCTCTTATTAACGCGAGTCTGGTTAAAAAACAAAGAAAACAAGCCGGACTCATAACGCGATTCGACTGTATCATAACTTATTTCAATTCTATTTTTAATCAAAAGGGTTGAAATTTAATGTACCATTATCGTATTTATAACTTATATTTTTTTTAAGCTTAATGGTAATAATATAAATATTTTTTATATTTTTTCACAGAGTAAAAAACTATCCTTCATTGCGTAAAAAATTTTGATATTAAAAATTAAACATTTTTTTCTATTGATTTATAATCTATATTATTAAGAGAATAAGCAAAATTTTGTGGCCAGTGTATTTATATCGATGTTACACTCATCAAGTGCTTTCATTTGAGTACCTATATCAATTTTTCATATATTTTATATATATTATATATATATATATATGAAAAATATATCAAAAATGCATGTGGGTACTCAAATGAAAGCTCTTGATGAGTGTAACATCGGAATGAGCTTATATCTTTAAAAAACGTCAATATTTAAGAAAGTACAGTGGAATTTAACAAAAGTAATTATTTAATAAAGCAAAATTTTAATTTTTTATAGTTCACAACAGTTTTAATTAATTAATTTAATACCATTGTGTTGAAGTAAAATGATTAAATCTTGCAGATTGAAATTTAAATAAAAATATTTTTCTTCAATCAAAATATACTTTCAAATTTAATTATAATTTTTTATTTGTTTAATCGAAAAATTGTTTCAAAATCACCCGAGTTATGAACAGTTATAATTGACAAAAAAAATAGGACAAACAAAATAGAGTATTAGCCATGATAGAAGTTATTTTATTCGGAATCAGAATGTTAGATTAGACATATAATATGAAAAAGGTAAAAAGGTAAGAATGTTTGATCAGCAATTTGGAAAATTTATGTTTAGAAAGTGCATCATCATCAAAGTTATAAGATAGAGGTAATCTTCTGGGAGACAAGATGCAGAGCCACTGATGCAGTCCTGTCTAGTTTCTTCCGTGTCTGGATACACTCGAGAAACAAACAACGAATTTCATTATAATACCTAACCGTTTCTCGACTAATGTAATGCAATATATAATAATGTTATGTGTATATATGTATGAATGTAGAAGCAAAGATACTTTGCTTATGCTTATGCTTATAGTTATGCTATACTTGTACTTGTATATTGGAACTCATCGACCAAGGTGTATCTCACATATTGCCCATGAGCTGTTTCCTCGTGGGCGGCATACAGGTGCCTCCGGGCACTTCGACCGTCTCAAGTAGATATGTTAAAGTACGGCCCACGCATTCTGACATACGCACTTGTCAGTGGCGTACAAATATCGGGAGATGTTAGACGGGCCCATACCCGTTATTAATGCACTTATCATGTTATTTGCTCTCAAATTAACTACTGATTTACTGAATCACCTTTCTATTACAAGTATACCAGTCTACGAGACTACAAGACTGCTATTTTTTATTTTTATCTTATTATACTCGGCTAATCTGTACTGAGTAGTTTCCGTTCTGTTTGTATATATCGAAAATAAAACCTTGCTCGATATTTATTTTAAAACTGTCGCTAATTATTCCATCTGTCAATTATCCATCACTGATAGAAGGTTTTAGTACGGAGTACTAAACCGATTTAGTAACAAAATTTTTATTCATTTATTTGGGAGAAACAAATATTTTTTACCTATCAATATTATTTGTTACATGTTTTTTTTTTTTTAAATTTAAAAACACATACACTCCCAATAAATGTCTTCTATTTATGTTTTTTCTCAGTGGAGTTTAGTTTACATTTTTTAATTTGTCTATTATTGATATGTTAAAAACTTGTTTAATTTTTAATTTTATAAATGTCTCAAACAAAAAAATATAATTTAATGAGATTTTTTTCTTTATAAATAATACCTCGGCTGTCCAATTTTAAAACACAGTAACTGCAAAATTTTTATACCTGATTTTTTTTTAGTATTGCTGCATTTTTTATAACTTTTAGACCTTATAATTTAAAGTATTTTTTTTTTTAATATTTATATTCAAGTATTTTCTATTCATAAATCAAATTTTTCATCAATTTGGCGGGTAAAATTTTTTTTAATAAGAAAAATTGGAAAAAATTTTGAAATGTTAGTTACTGTGTTTTGAAATTGGGCAGCCGACCTTTTATTTTTACTTAAAATTATTTATTTTAATTATTTTTATTTATTTTAAGTTAAAAAGTTAGATTACACGCTAAAATTAGTTAAAAAAATAATTTCTTTGATACCAATAAACGATTTATTGAGTACCAATAAATCATTTGTTAAATACTACTCAATATTTATTTAGTGGAGCTACATGGGCTTTAATAAATGATTTAGTACCTATTGCTAATTATTTGGTAATGAAAGGTTTGTTACTAAATCTTATCAAATAGAACTAAATGCTTCTATCAGTGCACTGATAATCGATGGGGGGTTCAAACTTTCAGAAATACTCTGTTTTATTATTTTATACATCGGGTTAATTTTAATCACGTACTCCGCATGCGGAGTTGGTTTATTGCGGCCGTTAAAAAAATTAAAATTCATCAGGTTGAAAAATTAAATAAGAAGCATTTATCGAAGAAGCATAATTAATATGAATAAGATATATAAATTGAGTTTTTTAATGTCAAGTAGGAGAATTTATGCTAATTGCTTTGATAGAGAAGTTGAATTATCTTTTACATTTTTTGGGATTATATTTATAAATTTTTAAACAAAATTTATAACTTCTTTTATTATTCCTGATAAAATTAAAAATCTTTTTTTTTATAATTTGACCTGTTTGCTTGAATCAAAAAGACTAAATTATTTTTTTTCTGTCATAATAAAAAATGTTAATTTTAATCAATTTAAAAATAACAAAAATTAAGGTATAAAAAATAATAGTTACAAAATTTTAATATGAACATCAATTGATCTTACTGTAAATTTGATAAAATTTGAATTTTTGTCATTGAAAAGTTTTTATCTTAACTATAATACTTTTTATTTATTATTTTTAAGCCCGACGTAAAGAAAATTGGCGAATTAAATTCTTAATTTGTTAAATTATTCAATATCGCATTAAATTTCTAGCGATCAAAAATTTCCTGTAATTATCAATTTGCAAAAAATTAATAAAACATAATCGTAACATCTGTATAATAATTTAAAATCCTTAATTGATACTTTTACCCCATTTTTATTAAAATAAATACAAACTTCTTTGGTTACATCGCGTATACACTTTCACCGAACACGCATATTAGAAATATTAGCATAATTCGGCGAATGCGCAGATACAGCTATTAAAATTCAGTAAAACAAGCCATAAATCTTTGATTTCAACTCCTGTTGGGAATTTTAATCGAACTTAAATAAA